ACACACACACACACACACACACACACACACACACACACACTACAAATCTATTTATTATATTTTGTTCTTTAAATATATTCTTGAGTTAAAAATATAAAATGTAAAAGCGCTGTACTTATTTTGTACATAATTATATATTTTTTATTTTCTTATATTTTATTATTATATAAACTGATTTTCAATATAATATATATGATATTATATAAAATATCATATAATATATAGTACGAAAGATTTAAATATAAAATAACAATAAATTATAAAAATAATTGTACAACATATAATTATGAAGGATTTTTTTATAATAATAAGAAAATATTTATCATACATTGTTTTTATTGCATATGTATATGCATGTACATATGAATATGAACATGTTGATAAATGTATATTAATATTAATGTTCACCAATACTTCTACAATAAATAAAAAACGTGCGCGAACGTAAATAGATGCATAATTAATAAGCATATTCTTGATCCACGAATTGTGGAAGTAGCACGGACACACATCAGACTGGGATACTTTATCGGCAGGTGTCAAAAAATGGGAGTGACTACTTAATTCCAAGATGCTAAAATAAAACTTGGGGGCTCTAGTGTACGGAGGTAGCGTGCGGAGGATGAAAAAGGCCGGAAAGGACGTTCTCAGGCTCCTCTTTGTTAGTGACGAGCGCCGCGGCGGTATTCGTGTTCGTTCGAGTATGCACGCGTAGCGTGGCCGAGGAGTTTCTTTGTGAGTTTCGTGTGCGATTTTAGGACCAGCTCGTCGTCGAAGATCGCACGACGATGACAGACGGCACCGGGAACGAGGACTCCGCCGCATTCAATTCCATATCCGGTGAGTGATCGTAATTCCTCCTTGATTGAGCCATCTCGCGCGATACCGGCCTTTTGAGGTTAAAATTGGTTAGAATTGTCACGGAACAAGGCGTTTCAGATAAACGCGCGCGTCTCCCGAGAGGGTTTTGGCCATCAGATAATGTCAGTTAATTAATTCAATTTATCTTTCACTGCAGCAGTAATTTCAGGGTGATTTTCATTCGCGCTGAATTCACATAAATCTGCGACGATGATCGCTCGTTGGAGCGAACGTTTTGAGTTACATGGTTATGCTATACCCGATGTATTCTTTGTTCGTCGCGATTTCATTTACGCGTAATCACCGCATTATTTCGTGACAGTACCTCATATCTTTTCTCTTTGAGATGAATTTTGAGACTAACACATTACAGATCCAAGCAAGACAAATACGTACAGCGGTACAGCGGGTGCAGTAGTTTTGTATTCAACCGCACAGGCATGGCGAGCCCAATTCCACCGAAGCCTCACATGCTCCAGCGTCTCAGAATCGTCGGACGAAGAAGAAGATCTGTCTCAATATCAATTCGAGGATGATCTTGAATATCTTAGATCATTAGATCCAAGAGATTGGAAGGATCAGGACCATTATGCTGTTCTAGGCTTGAAAGATCTCAGGCACCGAGCAACCGAAGATCTCATTAAAAGAGCCTGTACGTAAAATATGCTTTGTAAATAAATATAGAGTATAACATCTCTGGGTTGATAGTAATTAGGTTAGATATGTTTGCCTGAATTGCAGACAAGCTGAAGATATTAAAACATCATCCTGATAAGCGCAAGGCAATGGGCGAGGAAATCCGACCAGACGATGACTATTTTACATGTATAACTCGCGCCTGGGAAACCCTTGGGAATCAAGCAAAAAGACGAAGTTACGATAGCGTGGATCCTTGCTTCAATGATAATTTGCCGGACGAGAAGGATTGTCGGAACAATTTCTACGAGGTGTTGGGTAAAGCTTTCAAAGAGAATTCACGGTGGTCCGTGAAGAAACCCGTACCGCGACTGGGTGGACCACTGATGCCACGAGAGAAGGTAGAACAATTCTATTCATTCTGGTATGACTTCGACTCCTGGCGCGAGTATTCGTACCTCGACGAGGAAGACAAGGAGAGTGGTCAAGAGTAAGTACGACGAATCACATCAGGGTTTTCTTCGAGGAAAATTGCAGCATAGCGTTTTACGACGAAATTAATTGCAGCCGGGACATGCGCAAGTGGATCGAGAAGAAGAACAAAGCGACGAGAGCGAAACGGAAAAAAGAGGAGATGGCGCGAATACGTACTTTAGTGGATATGGCTTACAATATAGATCCTAGGATAAAGAAATTCCAACAAGAAGATAAGGAAAAGAAGAATGCTGTAAAAAGAGCGAAGCAAGAAGCGGCAAAAGCCAGACAGCAGGAAGAAGAGAGAATAGCCCGGGATGCGGCAGAGAAGGAAAGATTAGAAAAAGAGAAAAGAGAATCCGAGGAGAGAGCAAAACAAGATGCGTTGAAGCAGGAGCGTGAGGCACAAAAGAAAGCGTTGCGCAAAGAGCGGAAGGCACTTAGAGATTTCTGCAAGGCAAACAATTACTTTGCTGAAAGCTCGGAAGAGAGTCTTCGACATATGGAGAGCGTAGAGAAAATCTGTGAACTGTTCAAGCTGATGCAGCTAGAAGAAGCAATGAAACAACTTCAGACCAATGGCAGAATCGCATTTTTGGGCATCGTCGAAGAAGCTGAACGGAGAATCGAGGCAGAACGCCGCGTGAATGTAATCAATAATGATGCGAGAAATATGCCCGATAAACAAACTAAAACTTGCACCGCACCCTGGAGTGAGAACGACTTGCAACTTTTGATAAAAGCGGTCAATCTATTTCCCGCCGGCACCAATCAACGTTGGGAAGTAGTAGCAAATTTCATCAATCAACACAGCAGTTCTACTAGCGGAGCTACGCGAGACGCCAAAGAAGTGTTGGCAAAGGCCAAGAGTTTACAATCAATCGACTTTAGTAAATCGAGTCTGAAAGAACAAGCGAATAAAAAAGCCTTCGACAATTTTATTGCCGAGAAAAAGAGCAAAGAAGCTATCGAGGAAAGAATGCCAGCTGTTACAGAGCGTCTGGATCATCCAATTGCGAACGGCGTCGCCGCTGAACCTAAGGAAACGAAAAAAGAATCGGCACCGTGGACGCCAGGTGAACAAAAACTCCTGGAGCAAGCGCTGAAAACTTATCCCACGACGGTCTCGGATAGATGGGATCAGATCGCAGCGTGTATACCCACTAGAACGAAAAAAGAATGCATGAAGCGATATAAGGTAAGCATTGAGAGAAAAGATATATAACCTATATTGTTATAATCGTATGATACTTTTGAAATTTTATGTAACCTCAAGATAAGCATATATAAAAGAATTTGTCAAGATTTTTTTTAAATAGAAAAGAAACAACATTTTAGATAATTAAATCAGACACAGTGTTATTTAATGGATAAGGAATCAAACCATGTTTGTTTCTCTTTGTTGCAGGAACTAGTCGAGCTCGTGAAAGCGAAGAAGGCGGCGCAGATGACGAAATAATATTAACTGCACGCTAAGCTCGAAATTTCCTTCTAACTTATTGAACTTTAGTTCAATTTTGCGATTCCAATATGATGATTGTTTCATTCCCTGAAACGGAATTCTTCCCTAGAAAATTATAATCGAAATTTAAGACTGGACGAAAGAACTTTAGCTTATTCATTGAGTGCCAGCTCGCGTGCATACTTGTGCCTTGCTACAGCCTATACGTGCACGAATTAATTGCACGGCATACAGAAAAATTCGACGTGTTTCGTTCAATCGACTCTGCGACACATTTTATTCCTACGCGCTGTACATTCTGAATGTACCTTTGAAGTCATGCTACTATCCAATCACTTCCGTGATGAAGCTTAAAATTTAGGATCTTCTTTCCTTTGGCAATATGAATATGTATTTCATGACCGACTTACACTTCATATTGTAAGTACTGTAAAATAAAAAGGAGTTACTGCCGTCGTAGGAAGAGACAGTGGCCAGAAGAGAAAGCCGGACTTTATAAATAAATGAGGATGTTTTGAAAGCGGCTGTTGGATGGAAACGCTCGTCGACTAAAGTGTTCCCATAATCCTTCACTTTATAAGTACGTATCCTTCATTTATCCTGATTATATAAATCCTGATTATAATTCCTTCATTTGTCATCATATCTCTTGAAAATATTATTGAATCCGAAGAAAAGGAATATATTTGTTAAATTTAGAAATTATTTTTCTTATAATTTATAAAAACAATTTTATCTCTGATATATTTGTGAATGATATTTTGTGAATCTTTATATAGCTATAAGATTTATAAAATATCACAAAAAATATTATTTTTCAAGGGTGATATGATATAATTGGATTTCACGAAGAAATTTTGTTTCAATCACCACGCGCGCACATTTAATTTTATTTCCTATTTTTCTTGCTCCATATTCCAACATTTTAAGCCCCTTTTTTGAAACATACCGTTTCTTATATAAATTTAAACGAAAGCGACGAAATATAATCGAGATACGTGTTTTTTCGACGAATCCGCAGCGTATGGACCACTAAAATCTAACAGAATGACGAATGTAATTATTGTGCGCTTTGTTTCATTACTACATACTAAATTTTTTGTTTTTATCAAGAAAGCATTCCTTGTTATCGGCGTTATTATTATCAATTAATGTATTATTAATCAATAATTATTACTATTAATATTAATTCCCGACTACTAATGCCAATTTTATTTCGAACGAATTCGAGCATTATTCATAACAAAATAGATCGAGAAACTTTAATCACAGTAAAAGATTGGTCCTGCTGAATTCTGCATCCCTCTGCACGTTTTAATAAGATTAAGAAAAATATTTTGGAGTAAATTCTTTTTCGACTAAATCTTTATATCTAGTTTTTAAATTTATCTCGATTGATTGGAATCACGGTTTTTTTTTTTTTTTTTTTTTTTTTTTTTTTTTTTTTTTTACAAATTTGTAATTTTTTCTCTTTGGTTTTAATTACACTATTCTTGGTCATCTTCCCTGATGATTTTTCAGTATCACAAAATGGAAAATATTGATCTTTCTATACACGAATATTCATATTTACGATAAATAATCGGTAATCCGATATATATTTCTCGTATCTTCTTTGATTTATTATGACTTATTATTATTTATCGTAAGTGGAACTCTATGCATTTCATTGTTTTTGTTCCATTGTTAAATGATACAAAAAGATGTTAGAACATTGAAAGATCGAGCATTCTATTGTACATAAACGAAACCGCGTTTGTTTCGCAAAATAGCCTCTTCAATTTTAAATCGCAAGAAAATCAGTTTATTTCTCGTCTAATTATTTTCATAATTTAATCGCCAAATGATCATCTTGTAAGATCCAACAACGATATTTCTCCTGAAAACTATTAAACTCTAATGAAATATACGCATGTGCGTGTCTACATATACATGCGTGTATTTATCGTCGAACGTAGATAATGAGCGAAAAGGACATAGATTGCACGGGGTTTTAATTGCTATGACAATTTTTATTCAGACATCATAAGATATAAACAGACTTCGGATTTTTAAACATTAGTGGTTCTGGACCGTGTGGCGCTCCATTTACTTTTTTTTTATTTTATATCTCTTCCGTCCGCGAGAGACGAGAGGAACAGACGGCGATCTATATCACTTTACAGAGCGTAAAAAATTCTGCTGCTACTTGTGGTCGTGTTTACGAACCCATAGTCTCTGTAATTTACACTTACTGCTTCAGCATCGTCCAACTCTTCTCTAAAAATTTGGCATATATATGTGTATATACATATAGTATACATATAGTATACATATAGTATACATATAGTATACATATAGTATATATATATATATATATACTATATACTATATGTACATATGTACTATATGTTTCGTAATAAGGTTCGTGTTATTACTTAAAGTAAAGAAATTAAATGGAAGGAAGGACAATTAATATATAGAGCGTCAAACGTGGGATATGCAATGCAATCGACGATTAAGGAGGGAAAATCGAAGGTGAGGGACGAGAGAAAAAAAAATCTTCGATCGTAAGTCGCACGATCTACGAGTGGATCGTCGGTGCAAAACGAGAGCACTTTGGCTTACATTGTTAGGACAACGCACCGTAAGAAGCAACATACGGAAGAAACGTAAGGCGAGAAAAACGGCAAATTTGCCATACATGGAAAAATTCACGAAGAGAAGATGTGTGAGAGAGTGGAGTTCGCATTGGTCGTAGACAAGCCGAGAAGGCTGCCGAGGAACGTGGTTCTGAAAGTATTCCAAACTAGTAATCCGTATAACAATAAACCGATTTGTCAATCGCCCGATGTTCGCCCGAGATCGGCGAAGCTCTAAGTTCTGAGGTCTCCTTCGTTAAAGCATTAGATTCTAATTGGTTCTACACGTTCTCTCCGCGTTAACGCTCGTTTTTTTTCCTCCTCCTTACCACTCGACATATGTATACAAATGGAAAAAAATCGAAGCATTACGCGACAAATCTCCAGAACCACGCCGATTGACGAGTACTTATAAAATTTACGAGAGCTTAAAAATTTGTCAACGTCTATAAGTTAACATTTACGTAATTAGTTTTAATGTCTATTATCATCCTCCGGTTCCCAATCTCACGTTTCTGCGTACCCCAAAAGTCAGTCGAACAACACACAAAACGCGATTTCTACATATTGCGATCGGGTTAAAAGTTTGAGATTGCATTGTTGCGGCTGTTGCGGTTCTCTGTCGATTGTATTCTTTTACGAATAAATTCTTTGTGCGTGAAAGAGGACCCGTGCTATTTCCGAACGATTTACTCCAGAGATTTCTCACGGAGACGGGTCTTAAATTATCTCGAGCAACTTTTCACTTCTACTGTCTTTCATATTTTACCTCAATTTCATACCATTATTACTTTCGATATATCCAATTATACATTATATGTAAAAGCTGAATAATTTCAAGTTATTTTATAATTTTTATTTTAATTGACTTAATTCCGTCTTTGAGTAGATTTGCTAAACGTCAAATTTTCTTTAGTGTTATTAATTTTTCACAATAGACAGAATATTTTACAACAGAATATTTTCAAATATCAGCCGATTGAAGCGAAATTTTCGGTTTATCTCATTAATTAAAACCCACCGTAAATTTTTCGCAAGCGACACGCGTCCCCGGAGATGAGATTGTTGGGAATCATGAAATGGCTTTTTATAAAGCTCTCCGTATCGTTGAGCATGCACCTGAGTGGATGTAATCGTGGGTTAAGAAAGAGAGAGAAAGAGATTCGTGATTTAGATCCTCGCGTCGTCACGTCCGAGCTTACATTTTTTGTAATAAAAATCATATATTGAATGGCCGCGTTGTTTCCCCAAGGGAGAAAAGATCCGCGTGCGTCCCATTTACTCACCATCCCCGTTATGTCCCCGCCCACCCTTACTCTCGTTTTGTATAGAGATTGCCATCTAGAGATATATAATATATATATATTTTTATATATATATATATATATTAATATATAATCTCGAATCTCTCGCAGCGCTAGTTTATTGGCCATTCATCCTCACGTATCTCAGCGGAAATATACGCGCGCAACGGTGCTATGTACACAATTACAAATACGAATAATAATATCTATATATCGTCACAACATATCGTCAGTAGTGTACAACACACTCGACTCGCAACTCTCTCTCTTCGCGCAATAATAATTCGCAATAATAGTCATTTACTTTGTCTAAGTTGATAAAAGTCTTTCTCTGGTCCAAAAGAAGTTATAGATACTTAGGCACTTGTTATCTCATCTAGAATCCATATACGTATGAGTCATGAGTTGTAATCATCGTGCTAGTAACCGGTAATTATCAGAACAAGGGCAACGAGATTAATCAATAATGAGAACAATAAGAGCGATCATCCGCCGACGTGTTATTTTTTTTTTTCAACCTCCTTTAACCCTTTACGACTCGAATTTTTTATTATAGCATTTTTTCATTCGATTCCCTCCGTTCGCGCTTATTTGTATAGAAGAGAGATTTTTACTATCCAATAGGAAATTGTGGTAGGTGTTTGGTAAAAAGTTCTCACGTCAGATTACACTTATAAGGTAATAATAAATATTCTATAAAGTGTCGTAAAGAGTTAAAACAGGTAATGAGTCTTGTAAAAGAAGGTATTAGATCGCTATAAAAAACAGACGAATTAAGATAATTGAATAAGAAATTCACTTCTCGAACTCTCGATTAATTATTGCCAATTGTATGCTTCTTATGTAGATCGTTAAATATTATTTCTATAAATTATGAAGCCAACTTAATAAGATTCACAGTGTGAGAAATTTACAATTTCCCACGAGTTTCTTTTATTTTAATTCGTCTACCTTTTACACGTGGTACACGTGGCACTCGCCCTCGGTCAAGACGACTCGAAAACCGAAAACGGAGATCAACGTTAAACGGGAACAATGGTGAATCTCTAGAGGACTGTTTCTAGAGAAATAAACTCAATTCCGCCGGGAGCTCTCGGGTCCCAGGATGCTTCGTCGATCTTAATCTCGCGATCGTTCGTAAAATGACGTTTCATAAAACAAAGCTCCGCGCCGCGACGACTCCTGGATCGTCTTGACCTATCCCCATCGCGGCGAAAATACATCTCTTAAAGCCTAATATATTCTTGTACCTAAACGAACAGCAACTTGCCTCGCTCGATCGCGACTTGCGCGCAACCCGCGCCAAGTGATGATCGCGAGCGATTCGCGTGACTGAAAAGGATGCCGGGTGAACATCCGCGCTTGATTAGAAAATATCCACTCGAAACGAAAATGCGCGTTTATTGGGTTTGATCCGAGCGTGTCACGCGGAATGGACATCTCGACGCCGAGCGGTCGCCCTTCGCGTCGCGACTTCGTCCCGCTACTTCCTCCCCCTCTAGACTAAATCGGCATTTTGTGCTCTCGAGTGGCATCTCTCGGTCCTAACTACGTATACGCTATACATATTCAGAACAGTTTGTAAAACGTCCTCGTGCTCCTCGAGCAACAACAACAACGGCGATCGAATCCACGCATGGGTCTGAATCCATCGAGCTCGCGATCGATTCAGATCCCGTCGGTGGTCCTTCAATGGTGATTCCTCGCAGTTACTTCATGTTAACTGGCGACCTCGATCATTTGGCGACTACTCCCGACACGGGGGAGTAGGGAGTTTTCGGGTTACGTCGTGGTGGACGACGTGGTTCGCGCCGTGGCGAGTGGCTTTTCGTCCTGCTAGGACGGCGGTTGTCGCTGTTGCTGTTGTTGCTGCTGCTGCTGCCGATTACTGCTGCGACGACGATAGCTGGAAGAGTGCAGCTGACGGTAGACCGGCTGACTCGGTGGCTGCTCCTGCAACGGCTGATAGCCAATGCCGGTCGTGGTCTGATGTTGCTGCTGGCTGCTCCACGGGTGCAGCTGTTGCTGCTGTTGCTGCGGCTGCTCCGCGCCCTGCTGCAGCTGGTACGACAACGGTTGGCCGCGTCGCTCTTGCAGGAGCAACTGATGCGCGGCCTGGTCCATCTCCTCTCGCGTCATGTCCAACGCTTCCTGCATCTCGCGCGATGTGTACCGCACGAAGTCCGGGTCGCAATATTTGCCCAGACCTTGCTCCACTAGAACCTAAAAAAAAAAAAAAAAAAAAAGTAATGCGAGAGACATTTTTAGAAAGATGAAGCTGGATCCATCGTTTGTTTAATGTTATCCTCGTTCTCCAACTCACCCGACCGACGAGGCTCTCCGCGCTTCCGATGACCTCAAAGTTCGGCTTCCGGTCCGCGGGACTTCCGGGCATACTGTGGGACAGGCGCTCTGCGCCGACGCTTCCGTTACTCTCTGTGGCCCAGGCAACTGACGAACGAGGAGAGCCGTCAGATTGTTAGCTCGAGTCAATCACGCCCTGCCTCTTTATCGCTTTCGATTCGCTCTTGCCGAAAAGGCATTTTTGCATTAGCGAGCATAGCGCACACCAAAACTGATTTAGTGACATACTGTGCCTCCTCTCTCAAGCTTGGCGAGATTACTAATGTGTCAATCGAATTGCAGTTAAGAGTAAAGCGTTAGGTGATGAGACCGTGTTAGGATGTTAGTTCGAAAGCTGACAGAGCGCGTGCTTCGAGCAGCGGTTGACCACCTGAGCAACACTTTGCTTCGTATCCACGTCTCTCTTCGTATGTTCTTTGTATGCTCTCCCTCTCGGGAGATTTCATCGTGCAGGGATTACTCGAATGAAAAATGATTACCTCACATGTCAAGTTGTCTGATTTCGTAACTAATGTCAGGTACACTCAATTTTCATTCGAAAACTATTTTAGCTTGGACATCAAGATAAATTTTGATTACTAAATTTATTCTTTAACTAAGACAGAAATATCTAATAACTTTGTGCCTTGATAAACATTATCTATAAAAATTAAAGGAAATAATCAGTGAAACCAACGTGAATATATTTCAAGGAAATGAATTTAACAAAATCTTGAACATAACGAAACAAAAGAATTGTTGCTCATATTTGAGCGTGCATCAACGTACTTTGTTGATATCAATCCTTTGCGATCGATAACTTTTAACTATTCGACTTTTATTTTTATCTTGCAAAATATTGGCTGATGTGATTCCGTGTATAATTCATTTGCAAAAATTAAAATAATTTGCAAAAATTCGAAATAGACAGGATTTAAGTCGGAGCGCATTTATATTATGATTACAATTTTTCAATTTACAAATGAATCTCGTTCAAATTCAATCGCAACTTGTGTCGATCGCTTAAAAAAAAAAAAAAAAAACTTCCAAACATTTTGCAATGTACGATCGCAAAGGATCGATTTACGCTTTAGTCACCTCTGCCGTGGTAGGATGCTCGGTGTGACAAGCAGGAGGCGCAGACACGCCATTGCCGCGAGTCTACGTCGGCGAGGAAGCTGGCCACGGCGATCGCCTGGTTCTGTGCCATTTTAAGGCCATTAGCAACGGTGCACGTACCGGTCGCGGATCCCGCCGGCTGGCCCGCCGTCGTGGCGGCCGCAGCGGCTGCGTCCCGCGACCGGAAGCTCGCCGGAGCCGATTTGCCGCCGGCGGTCGCGGCGTCGCGACGAGCCTTAGCCCGGCGCTTCGACGACCGGCCGCCCAGCACGGTGACATGGGGTTTCCCTGTCGTGCCCCGCACCACGCCACCCTCCGAGTGCGGGTTCCACCTGCCGGAATCGCTCGATCCGCTTCCGGTTGTCGTGTCCTCGTCGTCACAATCATCTACGGCTGCGTGCGAGGACACGGGGACGTTTTATCAATGGGGTGCAAGCCTTGATCGCGCCTATCTTCTCGTAAATCAGACTTATCGTGCTGGCAAACGCGACGAAATTTTGTTTCAAGAAATGTACGATGTATAAAAATAATTTTGCCTTTTTACGTCGCCAACTCTGTTCGTTTAATTATTCATTATTTATCATAGGTTTTATCTTTTTATAATTTTGTGAATTTACTCATTTTCGCACGATGCTAATCATCACAACAGTTTTAATACGTAATACGGAAAGAATAATTTTGCTGGCAAATCTAAAAATTTGACCAGATGTAGATGTCTGAAAATAGCTTTTAAAATTATTACATGTACAATGTATTCAAATTGATTGCTAAAAGATCAAAAATTATTCATGATCCAACAAAATTATTTTCAGGTATTTTCTGACCGAATTTTCAGATCTGCCTGTAAAACTGTTTTTCTCTATGTAGTACTAACTACCAATTTTTTTCACGACTTGTTTTTGCTCGTAAATATTATGTAATTCAAAAAAATTTTACTTTAGATTGAATAAATCCTAAATGAATGAATTAGAGACTGAGAGCAAAAAGTATCGAGGAAAAGTCTCCTTGTTGATGCCAGCAGAGCGACGGGGGCTGTTTTTGCGTGCGAGTGAACCGACGTTCCCGTACCGTGATTGCTCCAGACTGCGCAATCAACGCAGCAACCCCGCGACGCATAGGTATAATAACAGTTCGTTCCGTTTGACGAGGAAGCGGGGCTTGAGCTCGTCGCGGTGGTCGAGGTGTTCGCGCTCGTGGTGCACGACGCGGTGATCGTCGTCGTCGCGACACTCGACCCGCTCGTCGTGCCGGCCGCCGCGGATGCTGCTGCGGTTGCTGCGGTGGCTGCCGTTGCTGCCGCCGCTGTAGCGGCGGGGACGTGCACGGCGGTGCCGGTGCTCGGGGTGCCGGTGGACGAGGACGGTGGATTCCGTCGCGGCGGAGGCGTGGGTGGCGTCAACTGCCGCTCGATTCCGTCCTGAAGACTGCACGAGCGTGCACACGCGCACACGCGGGGTAGGACGGCGGGGAGAAGAAAAGAAAAGCGTAACGGCCGATCTTAGTACATTAGTGCGTATACGCATGGCAGATCCACGCATCCCCCTCAAAAGCCTCGAAATATATATATATTTTTTTTTAAGTATATAATAACAAGGATGCTCTGAATAAAAGTCTAAAACGAGGCAGACAGAATTTGTCATCTACAAGAGCACAAGCATTCAA